AATAGATAGAGTGATTCTAAAGGAAGATTTATGGTGTGTAATACATGCATATTATAGTACAGAAAAGCCGAGAAATTCAAAGATTTGTATTTCATACTAACGGTTAAAACGTATCTAGGCAGGAACCCGAGCTAAGCGAAGATGAGTCGCTAGTACTAAATAAAATATCTATTTACTAAATTTCATCCTAATCAAACCACATTTTACAATAATTACAGCGTGAAGGAGTAACAAACGTACACACAAACAAACTTTCGTATGTATAATAGTAGATATTTCCATTATAAATACGAAATGTGTCCAATCGGCTCCCAATATTAAGGATCAATCAAGCCAGTAGATTTAACTCTGCATCGTTTTGTCGTCAAAGTAACAAGTTTTATTACCGTATACTATATTTTAGCCACTTCACTTCCATAGTGTAATGGCCTATGGTATTCTACTATGGGATAATGCAAGGTGTTGCCCGCTATAAACAAGATTTTTGCCTTAGAAAAGAGCCACTCGTAGAATTCATAAACTAGGCTCTAAGTTCTACGAAGTAAAAGGACATTAAAATATTGACTATTTCTTCTCAATACGATTTTCTCTTTTTTTTTGTTTAGTAGCTATTAACTAACTTTAGTGTTATAATAAAAAAAATTGGAGACAGTCATCTATACTAATATTATAAAGAGGTAAAGTTTGTGAGTTTGTGACGTTGTAGGAGGTAATCTCTGGATCTACTGATCCGATTTAGATGAAATTTGGTTAGAAGATAGTTTGAGATCCTGGGAACGATATAGGATACTTTTTATCCCGGAAATCATCCCTTGAGGGGGTGAAAATGGGGAAGACAGTTTGTATTGGGAATCAGAAGATTAATATAGATAGGTAAATTCTATTCATATATTTCAATTTGTTCAATAATGTTTATGGTCCAATTTCGTATTGAAGGAAGGCCCACTCCCAGCAGTGGGACGTTAAAAAGGGCTGAATATGTAAAGCAAGCATAGCCACAAACGTGAACTAGTTTCATCTATAAATAAATAACGATCGTTGCAGAATATTCCATAACACCATTATGCCGATATTAAATTCCTCTGAAGGAGCGTGGGCGTTATTTCTCCCACGTCACACCTCTGGTGACCTTTCACGTATCGTATCCCTATAGAGCAAGAATAGAGTGTTAAAATTCAAAGTACTATTATAAATGTTATAAATGTGTAAATTTGTATGTTTGTTACTCCTCTATGTGAAACGGCTGGACAGATTTGGATAAAATATAGTACACAGATAGACTATGATCTGGAGTAACATATAGGCTACTATTAGTGATAATATTCTTCCAAAGGTGGCGCTGCTTGTATATCCATACTTTAATATTATAAATGTGATAGTGTGTTTGATTGTTTGTTTGTCCTTCTTCCACGTCAAAACAGAGTGGCGGATTGGCGTGATTTTTTTGTGTGGAGATAGTTGGAGGGCTGGAGAGTGACATAGGCTACTTTTCACCGCAAGAGATTATCTTATCCTGACGGGAAAATACGTTATAATAGAACCCAAAAGATATTTGTGTATATATATATATAATATATATATATTAGAATTATTTGAAACTAGGTATCAATGTTATTCAATACAGTTTTAAATAAATACGTGTTTTAGCATTTTTCAAAATTCATCCCATAAGATGGTAAAATAGGGCATGAAAGTTTGTAGTTATACTTCTTTTGGCACGTTTGGAAAAAAATATGAGAGTAAAATTTTTACTATGCGCGCGCACACTGACAGCCAAAAAGAGACATGATGAAGTTAGCTGAAAGCGACTATTATATTTTTGTTCTGTTACGCCAAAGTAGCATAACTTCTTACGTGCGTACATAAGTACACACACACGTTTTTTTGTAGTTTTAGCGAGCAAGCCTGATTCACACTTGTTCAATTTTTTTAATTATGTACATTGTATGCCTAACATTCTTGGACGAATACGGATAAAATCTATTGAGCAATTTGATTATACCTCACCTTATTACATATCATACTTAATTAATGTTGATATTATTATTTATATATTTATTACTAGCATAGCTCGCGGCTTCGCTTGCGCTAAAACTACAAAAAAAAATTCTTAAAAGAGGAAGGTTTCATACAAACTTTCATGCCTTATTTTACCCCCTTATGGGATGAATTTCGAAATACGCTAAAACACGTATTTATTTAATTGTTCTGAAGAGCATTAATAAAAAGTTTCAAGTAACTCTGATCACAATTTTTTTTGGGTTGAATTATAACGTGTTTTCCCGTGGGAATGAGAAAACCCCCCGCAATAAAAAGTAGCCCATGTCACTCCCCAACCCAACCATCTCCATACAAAAAAACGCGCCAATCCGTCGTTTCGTTTCCACGTGTAAGAAAGACAAACAAACAAACACACTTTCACATTTATAATATTAGTATGGATTATTTTGCAAGTACATAATATTTTAATTATCACTAATTTTATTATATGTTACTATATAAAGCTAAAGACAGGATGTTCCACTGCTGCAATGTTCCATTTACAAAATCAACCCATCAATTTTTACTGATAATATTGCTGAAAACCCAAGAAATTAAGCATGATTTTTTTTGCAAAATAGTTCTTTCGAAAAAACCTAAACCTTTATTGGAACCATGATTACCATTTTGGTTTTCATTATTTAATCTAAAAGAAACATAATTTACACTTAAAATATAAATAAAACGTTGAACAACTTTAAGTACACTCTTGCTCGGCTAACGGTACCTGTCCGATATGCACTAAGCAAGTTTCTTCCTTTAGAATTAGTCAGTTTATAGACTGATGCTGCATTAATTTATAATATATCAGGTTTACTTTTTGAATGAGAAAAAAAACGTGTGTGTGTATTTATGTACGCACGTAAGAAGTTATACTTCTTTGGTGTAACAAAACAAAAATAGCTAAGGATTTCATCATTGTAATAATCCCCTACGCAAATTAATTGTCATTTAACGATGACACTGGCACGCGTGAAGTACTTAATCGGGTAATCATACGCCAAAATGCCTTTCATCATTTTGTAAGTTGATACTCTTACACTGCTGGACCGATATTCACCAAACATAGCTAAGAATCACGGCAAGGAAACTGGCTTTCAAATGAAAAAAACCGCATCGAAATCTGTCCATCCGTTTGAGAGCAACGATGCCACACACAGACACATACACACACAGACAGACATCGACTTCAAACTTATAGCACCCCTCTTTTTGCGTCTGCGGTTAAAAATAATCAAATAAGGCATATTACAATCATATTTATATAATATCATATACGAAAAGAATACAATATAAAATATTTGTCAGACAATAATTCCGGTTACCATGGCAACAAACAGTTATCAGCTAACTTCATCGTGTCGCTTTATGGCTGTCGATGCGCGCGCGCATCGTAAAAATTTTACTCTCATATTTTTTTCCAAACGTCCCAAAAGAAATATAACTTCAAAAACACTCATTACAGCCACATACATACATATAACAAACCAACAGCTCAATATGGCACAATCGCTAACTAAAAAGATAATTTAATACTGACATTATTTGGGGGATTGGCACTGTATAACTTATTATCGTAATACAGGTCGGCACCCTAGCAGGGCAACACAGACAACCGTATTTTTTTTATTAATAATTTAAATTATTTATATTATATAATACTTGTGTTTTTCAACTACAATATGTATGTCTTTTTGAGAAATATTTTTTTGTTTATTATTTTACCACTTCTGACTCTCGAAAAAAGTAACTCTTTCATAAAAAAGCAAATATTTTCATATTTGGGGTGATTTTTTTTCTAAATTTTTCCTCCAACCAGCTTTTAGTTGATATGATCTCGATTATATATTGTTTATCAACTGGAATTTGATATTTGTCTTTTCATACCGCTAAGTACATCAAGTGTTCCACGGAAACCTGTTACAAGTTTGTTTAGCTGTACAAAATCGGGTGTGTGTCACTAGTTTTATAATGAAATTGTTTTTTAGAGAGAAATTACCATCGTTAAACCCATATAAATCTCAATAAAACGGAAACCTTCCAGTTTGGTACATGGGCGTTTGAGGATGATCACCCAACATGCATTGTCCAAAACCCACTATCCTTGTGATCAAAGACAATGGATTTTGGGCAAGCATACGTAATACTATTTTATAGTGATATACTATTGCTGTTATCAGTAGGTACAATCTTTATCTTGTTATCACACCCATATATGTTAGAAGAGTATTTAATATCCACTTCAAAACGTTTGCATTACGAAATTCTGTCATGGAATGCTAACTGTAATATACTCGTATTTTGGTGGAACGTGTGCTAACTTTGACAGAAGCTTAGGTCCAGAATTAGGTTTTTAAGGAGACGGTTCCAGATTTTGCATTGTAAGTCGATTTTAAGTGATTCTTTTAAAGGAAACACCCTATAATTCGATGATAGTTCAATGTAAAGGTTACATTTATCATTATTGTATAATGTTAATATTGTCCCGATATTTCGGCAGTGTTATAAGCGCCATGTTCACGGGTATACTGGAGACTAAGAATGGATGTTTTTGTTATTGATAGATATAATTTTATGGTACCATCTATCAAAAAAGTACTAGATACACAATCCCATGCAAAAGTTTTCTTAAAATGTCACCAATTGTGTTTAGGTAATTATTCTAGTTGAAATAAATATACAACAATGTATATCGACCCTTAAATGCAATGCTTAAAGTTGACTTCACAAAAAAAAATTAAAAGTCCGCTCAAATGTTCATATGAGCGCTCATTCGATGAGGACATTTTTTGTCGCTGATTGTGTATCTAGTATTTTTGATCTATGTATAAAACTCTTAAAAATACGTGAAAAACATGGCAAATTATATGGCATTTTACACCATAAAATATATAATGCGAGTACAGTGTATCAACCTAATTTTTTTTTATTATTAACTAGAGCTTAACAATTATTCTTACCCGTACACATGATCGTCGTCATCCAGCAGCTGATATTTTACTCCTCGCGACATCATTTTGTTACAACACTTTGACACTTTGCCACTTTAAACTTTCATTATTTCACTTTCACTTCACCGCACTCATTTTTTAAAGTGTAGTTTATACTTCTTGTATTTTACTTCTAAGTAAAAAATATAGTATACTAATATTTATATGCTTTACCTACGTTCCAAAAAAGGCAATAAAAATATATCAATTATATTACTTTATCGCGTTATTATATGTTCAAAGTTACGCTAACGATAGCACCTAATCAGTCGTTAATTTTTTTACTTTTTAATCGCTATCTGCGCAATGATAGCACAGTATTAATCCTAAATAAAATTCGATGCCCATAAACGTTAGTCTATACATATAATAAAATAATAACAAAGCTAAATCTGAACACGAAATATTTATTAAAAACAACGACTGTAACGTATTGTGTACCGAATAGAGAAAAAATGTTCCTAATTAATTACCTATACTATTTTACGTATAGTGTGTAGGCAGCCTTATTGCCAAACAACTTCGTTTCTAATGAAATCGTGCGCACAATAATATGTTATTAGTAGATTAAATATGATTATCAATAAATATAAAAAATATTTATTTCATACGATTGGGCTCGGCACAACTTCAAACAGGTTTATATATTACACTTCTTTCGTCTAAGTACATACTAATATTATGCGAAAATAAACCCTGTCTGTTTGTCCATTTGTTATGTGTTCACGCCTCCCCCCCCCAATGTGCGTTCACCTTGTCGTGGTGGGGGGGCTCAGTAGTGCCCGGCAATCCAACCTTTAGTGGGTAGTACTGGCTGTATTACGCCGGTGAGTCCCACACGTCGTGCGTAAATGCATTTCCCAACGTTAAAAAAAAAAAAAAAAACAAAAAATGTGTTCACGCCTAAATCACAACCAATTTTAATAAATCTTGGTATAGATTATAGATGGGACTTTGGAGAAGGACATAGGCGACGACACGTTTGGCTCAGTTTGTAGTAACCATACTTGCTGTGTCAGCGGTAGCGAGTTCGTGTCCCGCTGGGGGCATTCATTTGTGTGATGAGCACGAATGTTTGTACTCCAGTCATGGGTGTTTATATTTATAATATGTGTGTATTTAAAGCTATATACTCGTATATTAGTGTATCAACTACCTAGTATCCATAACACAGGCTTCGTAGCTTACCATGGAACTGGATGGTGCGCTGTGTTAATGTCCCAACATATTTTTAATTTTTATTACTTTTTGTCGCGAAAATGAAACTTGAAGAGGGTGAAATGATATTATAAATAAATAAAATATAAATATTAAATGTTGGGACATTAACACACAACACCATCTAGTTCCATGGTAAGCTACGAGGCCTGTGTTATGGATACCAGATAGTTGATACACATATATAACTTGAAATAATATATATAATTTTAAATTATGAAAGAACTTTTTTTTTTCTTTAGAGACATAAGATAAATTAGGTATATATTATGGCAGGTACATTAAATTTTCTCAGACTATCGTCTTGCCAAAATTCATCTAAATAGGTTCAATATTTCCAGAGATTTCCAGAGAAAACCTATCCTCGTTGTTTTTGAAGTCGGTCAAATTTAAACAATCGACTACGAATAAAAAACACTAAATTACTATATTTTAAAGTCGGCTAAATTTAATCGTGGGAAGTTAATCAGTACACTGAACGGCGAACGGCGCGGATACGACGGCTAGTGAAAGTGTTGCGCGACCAGAGGAGCATTCACTTCAAGAAATTGCATTTAAATAACCATTTGATATTATGTGGCGCAATGAGACTGTTACGTAGGGATCGCGGGTTCGATGTCCGAATTGGTTAAACATTTGTATTGTTCATACAAAGTTTATGTCTCATTTAGTTAAAATAATCGATCTGGGGTTTTGTATCTTATGTATGTGAAGAAAGATTTTTTTTGTTTGTTTTGTTTGTACAGAAAAGGCTCCGAAACTACTGAACCGATTTAGACGAAATTTGGTAAGAAGATAGTTTGAGACCCTGGAAAGGACAGGATAGTTTATTGCGAAGTTATAAGCGAGAGTGAGTCGCTAGCCCTCCTTTTGACCGCCTTTTATTACCAACAGTAGCCTATGTGTTACTCCAGGTCATAACCTATGTGTGTAATAAATTTCATCCAAATCCGTACAGCCGTATCTCACTCACAAACTTTCATATTTATAAAATTGGCGTGTTATACTTAAGAGTGAACCAACATGAAAAGATCGTAAAAAAAATTATTTTGTATGATTTTTGTACAAATTAAATCTTTCATTTTTAATCTAATTGTTTTTTTTTAAAATCGTTAGGGCATACCGTATAAAGCCAACCATACAAACATACGTTCTGTAAAAATAACAACGACGGCCTCAATCTTCAAAATCGGTTAAAGAGACAATGAAAAAAAAAACAAATTATTATTTATATCAAAGACAATATGGTATGTTTTTAAACAATATTGTATCAATAATATGATACTTGAGTCATGTGGTTTAGACTACGAATACGATCATTTTAAATAGGTCGGTCAGATTTTAAGTCATCATGCTTTTATATTTAGAAACTAAACTTTACGACTAGCGACTCACCCTCGCTCCACTCGGGTTCGTCCCTAAGTGATTTTTCAAATTAACGAAACTTTTTTATTTATGAACCGATTGAAATAAAACAAATACTAAATGTTAAGTGAAGCTTACCACAATATATTAGTAAAAAACCGCGTCCAAATCGGTTGAGCCGTTTCTGAGATTAGCGCATGCAAACGCACAGGACAAACAGACAAAAGTTCTAAAAATCATTGTTTTGGGTACTATTGCATAATTATAGGCCCCCAATGATAGCTCTTCTCAAATATTTTCCATGTACAGACAGCGATCAGTTATACTTTTATTATATGTATAGATATATATATGTAGATAACGGTTGATATCTATAGTCTATACTGACATTAGAAAGATGAAAGTAGGTAACACTATCTGTTGCCTTTCCACGCTCAAACCAAGCTCAAAACAAATTACGATAAAATTTAGCATCGACATAGATTCTGAAGATGGACATGGGCTACCCTTTATCCCCGTCCCTTTACCATGAAATGGTACTTTCTTCCTATTTCTTTGTCATTTCATTTTACGTTTTTTTATTTTTTCGATATCGTAAAAATTAGAAAAGATAGTTTTAATCAAAATAACTTAATTCAAATCTTGCCATCTAACAAAGTTTATCTTTTCTGTTTTCTATTGTCTATACATACTCGTATAATAGAATTCTAAGTGATTGTGAGTCGAATCTGTACATTAAATATTTTTTGTAAAATCTTATTGAAATAGTCATTTTTATCGATACAGAGGGCGAATCTATAGTTTTTTGAATATTTTCCTGTCGGTCTGTCTAGGAAAGCATCACGAGAAAACCACTGGACAGATTTTGATTAAATTTTGTATGATGATAGCTGATTATCCGGGTCAAAATATAGGATATTTTTTACTGTAAGAAAATATGTCATCTCTGAGAAATCTATACCAACCGTTAAGATGTACCAAGGGACGAACCCGAGCGGGGCGAGAGTGAGTTGCTAGTCTACTACATATATATACAAATTCACCTGACACATTTAACTGCCAGTTTCTTCGCGATATTAATGTAAACAATGTATGAACAATAGAAATTATTAATACTATGTAAATAAGATATAAATGCAACAAGTAGATAAATCTAAAGGACGTACGTTGCGTAGTATTTAAAATTTACATATCTTACTACAGCTATCTACTGTGTTAGAATTATTCTAGTATTAATATAATATGTTAGGACATTAACACACAGCACCATCTAGTTCCATGGTAAGCTACGAGGCTTGTGTTATGGATACCAGATAGTTGATACACTACACATATGTATATAACTTTAAATACGTCATATTATAAATATAAACACCCATAACTGGAGTACAAGTTCGTGCTCATCACACAAATGAATGCCCCCAGCGGAACTCAAACCCGCGACCGCTGGCACAGCAAATATAAAGAACCTACCAGGCCTAAACTAAGTACTAGCTTATGCAGTTGCAGATCAAGATGTTCTGTGTCCTAAATGAGGTTAAAAAACTTATTTTTTTTTACACTTACGCGAATATTTGACATTTTAAATAAAACTATCTTTTTATCTGTTCACTAAAAAAAGCATCATAAAAATCGGCTTACAATTGAATTGGCTTAGATTTTAACACATACAAATAACCATACATACATACATCTAATTTGGATGGTCCCATACAAATTACAAAACAAAATCCACCCAAAAAAACGGAATAATTTACATGAATGTTTTTGTAAATTCAGATCAGTTCACCAAAAATGAGCAAATATTAATATGTTATTTTAAACACATTGTCTCGGTGATATGGAATTTTTAACTACATCGTGTGGACAATCTAAAAGTTTGGGTAAATCCATACAAGACACATAATGTATGCCAATATACATTTATATTATCTACTAGCGACTTACCCTCGTTTCGCTCAGGTTCGTCCCTAGGTACGTTTTGACGCTTAGTATGGAATAGATTTTATTCTGTGTAATAGTTATTCTGCTATTCGGGGTAAAGACAAATCCAACAAAACAAAGACCATCAAAATCGGTCAAGCAGTTCTCGAGTCATAAGTGTTGTAACAAACCCGATTTTGTTTTATATAATATACCTACTAGCGACTCACCATTGCTTTGCTCGGGTTCGCCCCTAGCTTGATTCTCAATACAAACTTTCATCCCCATTTTCACCCCTTTAAAGGATGATTTCCGGGATAAAAAGTATCCTATGTCCTTCCCAGAGTCTCATTTCTGACTTCTGATTTCTCATTGGCTAACTTCACATGTCTTTCGAAAAATTGCCAGATTCTTTCAGACATGCAGGTTTTCTCACGATGCTATCCTTCACCGTAAGATAAGTAGTAATCATGTTGGAAATAATTCGCATATGTGATATTATTAGATATATAACTAAATG